AAAATGTTATGAAAATGAACATAAATCTTGAGGCATGCTACTTTAACAATATCATAACATTATGACTTAAAAATGATCTTATTTCAAGGAAATTATGACATTATATTTTATTATTTCATTCCCTCAATATTATATTTTACAAGGTAATTAAACAATTAATTACTAGTAGCTGCAATTTTTACTTTCGCTGAAATTAGCTTACAGTCGACTCCGCTTATAACGAATTCAATGGGACATTTAAATATCGTTCATATCCAAAGTATGCTAGAAGCGAAGTAGCAATCACATGCTGACGTGTGAAGTGGGCAAATTTGCCATGAAAAAAGACATACCTGTCACCGGTGTAATCATTTTTTAAGGCAGCGGTATTTTATCGGGGGCATTTTATTGAACAATATATTATGTGCATGTATTTAGACATGTAGGACTTGTCTATAATGTGCTTACCATTTGCATTATTTTGCCATTTGCTTGTTATCATTTGGTTAATATTCATACAGAGAACAGACTGATAATTTGGTAAATACCTGTATTGACAGTAATTTATCAAACGAGGGTGCGAAAAACAACATTTTATCAAAATTTTTATTCCCTGAAACCATAGCTTAACTGTGCAATAACTCGATTGAATGATTATCGGATTGCAGCATTTATGTACTGATCTTTAATCGAGTGAATCCCGATATTTCAATTATAACAGTTTGTTTAAACCAAGGCAATTTTTGAGTTTTTAGCCATTTGGGGCTTCAAAAAATTGTTCGCTATAGCCAAAAATTCATTTTAAGCGGGAACGTATTAAGTGATGTGATTTAATATAAAATGAAGAAGGAATCAGCTGGGGATTTCAGATTTAGTTCGCTATTAACAATTATTTGTTATAAATGAGTTTGTTATAAGGGGAGTCGACTGTATTTAGTCAGAATCACTCAATGTTTACTTAGTATTTACCTGGTTATAATCAATATCCCACTTTCAACAACTTAAGATGTCATTTACTTAGAGCTTCCTGTGACTGAAACCGGCGTTTTCAATAAACAAGATTGACATCAAGTTAAAAACAAGGCAAATATATATCGGTATTTTCCCCCCTTAATTGTTTATAAAGCGGGATGGGATTTCAACAACTTCAAGTGTCTGACACACACACATCCACTACACTTAACAATTGTTTCTTAATTATATACTCTTGTTGTTTAGTGTTTGTTATGTTAAACAATGATATGATGTGATATCTTCCTTATTGTGTTTACATTAAAGCGTTTATTCTGCGGCATGTTACAATGTATAAAGGGAAATTCTTGGAAAACATCTTGACCCTGGAATATGATAATAATCAAAAGAATAAATGTTATTATTTTTTAATTGTTTTAAGTAAGTAAGCCCTGAAAGTGTTCCTTGTTGCAAGGAAAATATATCAAGTGTTGTTTGAATAGATGAAATATGTTTTGTCAACTTATAATTTTCCTTCAAGTTCTCTTTCTTATGGTACTTAAAATATGAGTGTTTTGTCAGGGGTTCAAGGTTAATTGACCCAGTTTTGCATTTTGATAGATGTTTACCAGAAAGTCTATTCACATGTATGTCCCTAGATGTCTGTAGATCTATTTGTAATCATTTAATTTTTATGTTTATATGACATAGCTTAAGAATAGTTGAAATGATAATATAGTGCACAGTGACTGACTGTGACAGACTTGATCTAGTTAACTTTTTATTGTCTCAATATGAGACAGCCATGTAGATATTTTACAGTAGAAAACAATGTGGCATGTTAAGTTTTTAGAAAAACAACATTGTTTGGGGCAAATAGGTTTTAACAGTTTACAAGGCCGGATTGTTGTATACATGTAGGTGAACAATGGCAGATGAGAAATCTGATTGTTTTACATTTTCATATTGTTTTCAATCTTAAACAAAGATCTGCTTACAGTCTCCAGCAAAATGATGAAACAAATTAAACAACTCTTCTGAACCGTCTGCAATTATTATTAAATTAATGATTATATGATTTAAATGATTGGGTTTTTTTTAGACATACATTGGATGTATGCACTTTTTAAAAACTGCACAGCGCTGATTAGAAAAGCGCATGTCATTAAGAAATATTGGCAGTTACTTTGATGCTGTGTTTCTATGATTACATTATTTGATCAATATAATGGAAATGTCATGTCTTGGCTCAAATGTATTGTGGAAGTAACAACCAACTTCCTTTTCATGCTTTACTGGGATACCTGTTTTGGCCCCGGTGAAAGAGAAATTTGGGAGATTTTATACAGTTTAATGCATGAGAGGGATTAGTGCAAGAATAGTTGAGCTAAACTTTTCACCCTCATGTTTGTGTTGACATAACACTTGGTTAAGGTTCATGGAATTATTCCTTGTTGTGCAGTTTTACTTAACGATCACTGGGAATAGTAAAACTGGCTGTTTAGTAGCCCTTTTGAGCTCATCTGAGCTGGCTCTGGGTGAGCTTTTAAGATCTTTGAATTATCGTTATCAGACATCTGTTGTACATCCACATTAAGTTTGTTATCACTCTATAGGTCAACTTTTTTGCCTCGATTGTCACCAAACATGGTCGGTATGTTGTCTTAGTAATTGCTTAGACAAGTTCGAGCATGGGGCATCTTGGATGAGAACTGTATCACAGGAGCAAAATAGAAAAATTTTGTTAACACTCTAGTGTTCACTGTTTTTGGTCCAATTATCCTGGATATGATCCAAATATCCTGAATATTGGTCAGAAAGGTTGTTTTTGATGATTTCTAGCTCAAGATGGACTATAGGTCACCATGGGTCAGAAACTAGGTCTTGTAGTAAAAAAATGGAAAAAGCTTGTAAACACTCTAGAGGCTACTGTTTTATTCCAAATATTCAAGTAATTGGTCAGAAAGGTTGCTCAGATGATTTCTAGTTCAAGTTTGAATATAGGTCATCTGAGGTCAAAAACTAGGTGACACAGCCCAAATATGGAAAAACCTTGTTTACATTGGTGCAGATATGAATGTTATGATATCAGTTTAAGATTATGACATTATATCAGCTTTTCATTCACAGCTAACAGCAATAATTGTCCCCCGCCTTTTCGAAGAAAAAAGGGGGATATAGAAATAGGCTCCGTACGTCCGTCTGGACGTCCATCTGTCCGAGCAAATATTTTGGGTTTAGGGGCTATATAACAGTAAAGAGAACATTAAAGAGAACAATAGGTTCATTCCGTGATCAAAGGGTTTAGGGGCTAGTAGCCCTTAAGAAAACAAAGAAAATAACAAAGAAAATAGCCCCTAAAGCCAAAATGTTGGCGTCCCTCAGTCTGTCTGTCTTTCCATCACACTTTCGTGTCCGGTCCATAACTTTGTCATTTATGAAAGGAATTTTAAATAACTTGGCACAAATGTTTATTATAATAAGACGATGTGTCATGCGCAACAACAAGACCCCTACCTCCAGGGTCAAGGTCGCACTTGCTCATTCAAGGTCAACATTGTCTATTTGTGGGTATATGTCGTGTCCGGTCCATAACTTTCTTATCTATGAAGGGATTTTGTAAATACTTGCCATAATTGTTCACAATAATCAGACGATGTGTCATGCGCAAAAACCAGTCACCTACCTTCAAGGTCAAGGTCATACTTGGAGGTCAAATATTAACATAGTCTGTTACAGGGTATATTTCGTGTCTGGTCCATAACTTTGTCATTTATCAAAGGAATTTGAAATAACTTGGCACAAATGTTTGTTATAATAAGACGATGTGTCATGCGCAACAACCAGACCCCTACCTCCAGGGTCAAGGTCGCACTTGCTCATTCAAGGTCAACATTGTCTATTTGAGGGTATATGTCGTGTCCGGTCCATAACTTTCTTATCTATGAAGGAATTTTGTAAATACTTGCCATAATTGTTCACAATAATAAGACGATGTGTCATGTGCAAAAACCGGTCACCTACCTCCAAGGTCAAGGTCACACTTGGAGGTCATATACTTACATAGTCTGTTACAGGGTATATTTTGTGTCCGGTCCATAACTTTTTCATAGATCAGAGGATTTTGAAAATTAACTTAGCACAAATTGTCACTATAATAAGAGGATGTGTCATGCGCAACACCTGCATCCCTACCTCCAAGGTCAAGGTCACACTAAGAGGTAAAATATTAACATAGTCTGTTAATGGGTATATTTTGTGTCGGATCTAGAACTTCTTCATAGTTCAAGGGATTTTGAAATAACGTTGCACAAATAGTCACAATAATAAGACGATATGTCTAGTACAACACCTGCACCCCTACCTCCAAGGTCAAGGTCACACTTAGAGGTCAAAGGTTAACAGAGTCTGTTATTTGGTATATTTTGTGTCCCATCCATTACTTCTTCATAGATTAAGGGATTTTGAAAATACTTGGCACAAATAGTCACAATGATTAAATGATATGTCATGCGTAACATCTGTGTTCCTACCTCCAAGGTCAAGGTCACACTTAGAGGTCAAAGATTTACATAGTCTGTTATAGGGTACATTTTGTGTCCAATCCTTAACTTCTTCATAGTTCAAGGGATTTTGAAAATACTTGGCACAGATAGTCTCAATAATAAGATGTTATGTCATGCACAACACCTGCTCCCCTACCACCAAGGTCAAGGTCACACTTAGAGGTCAAAGCTTAACATGATTTTTAAATTCTGTGTTTCATTTTATTTTTTTAACAAATTTATTGTTGATTTTTTTGCAGATCTAGCAATAAATAGATCATAATTTTGGACTGAATGTCCTGAGATCCATACCTCAAATTTTTGAAATAGCACAATTTTATGCTTCATATAAAACTTCCCGAGGCGGGGGACGTTGGTAACTCTGTTACAAATTCTTGTTGTTCCTTGTCATTTAGAACCTTAATAATCAGGTGAGCCATGTAAGGGCCATCATGCCCCTCTTGTTCTTTGAACCATGTTGGACATTTTATGTTATTGTTACATATTGTCTCATCTCATTAACAGGTGCACTATAACTCCAAGACAGATCATTGGAGCTCTCCGGCAAGCACGTTATCAGCAGAGCTAGGTCCCGATGTGCTAGACAACTCCAGTAAGCTTGATGACTCAGTAGGAAGTACATACAGGTTACGGCAAGGGGTCAAGAAGGCGAACTTGTATGCCTGGTTTTCTTTACAATCTTTACCTGAGGTATGTTTATTATAGAATATCTCCTATAAATTGAACATAAGAATACAAAAAATACCCTATTACATTTAAGTCAGTGTGAGTTGAAACCTTGTTGGGGCAAGTAATGTTTCCGTGAGCAGGAAACTAAGTTACACTATTGTTTAGTAGTAGTTGGTTCCAGGCTGGGATTCGAAAAGTGTCCCTAAGCTTATAACTTCTTACACAAACTAAAATATGCAATAAATTTAATCTCACTTCATGTAAGCCTGCTGAGATTGTACTGTAGAAACAGCCTGTTATATGGCTTTGAGCCATCTCCTTGAACATTTTTTAAAATTACATTAAGTTATTCAGGTAAGTCTTCCACAGTTTTTTTTATTTGTCTGTTTTTTTATGCCCCCGCCATGTAATGGCCGGGGCATATAGTGTTACCCTGTTCCGTCATTCCGTCCTTCCGTCATCATCAGTTTCCGTTCATTATCTTAAGAACGGTTGCACACATTCAACTCAAATTTGACATATGGATATGTCATGAGAAAATACAGGTCAAGTTCGAATTTGGTCATGGTTCGATGATTTTTGGCAGAGTTATGCCCCTTTTACCTTGAAAATAATATGAAATTTCAGTTTCTGTTCATTATCTCCCCAAAGGTACAACACATTCAACTCAAACTTGACATATGGATGCGTCAAAGGAATGCGCAGGTCAAGTTCGAATTTGGTCATGGTTCAATGATTTTTGGCAGAGTAATGCCCCTTTCACTTTGAAAATAATATGAAATTTACAGTTTCTGTTCATTATCTACCCAACAGTGTTACATATTCAACTTAAATTTGACATATGGATATGTCAAAGGAATGGGCAGGTCAAGTTAGAATTTGGTCATGGTTTGCTGATTTTTTGGCAGAGTTATGTCCCTTTCACTTTGAAAATAATATAGATACATCTTAGGAATAAGCAGTTTATAAGTTTGAATTTGGTCGTGGTTCAATGATTTTAGACAAACTTATCTTTCCTGAACGTTGGAAAAATTTTGAACTTTCAGTTTCAGCACTCATACTTTTAGCCATTATTTTGGCTACAAATATGCAATATGCTATTTTTAAAAGGTTAAGACTGAATAATTTCAGTGCCTTGAACATTGTATGAAAATGGTTTGTGTTAACATTGAAAAGTTTTAAGGGCTTTGAACTTAAAATGAAAAAAATAATTAATGCACCATATGAAATTTTGGCTGTATGTGGGGGCATCGGTGGCATGATGACACATTTCTAGTTTTATTTTGTGTCACTCTGTTTGTATGAGTTTACAGTAACTGTTGGATACTCAAGTGGCTAGAGGAAAACTCTGTAAGGCTTTGATGTGACTATTTTCCTATATGTGGCTATTTTCCTATATGTGGCTAAGAAGAGAGAGAACAATAGAGTAGCCAAATAATATTATAATTATGATAATGTTATTGATATGATGTTATTGTAATGATGTTGTTATGTTATTATAAATATTTTATTATGGTGAAGTTATTATTATATTGTTATGATTTATCGATGTTATTATAATGATGTTACTATTGTTGTGTTATTGATGTTACTATAATTATATTATTGTATTGATGTTGTTACTGTTATGTTATTTATTGATGTTGTTATTGTGTTATGTTATTATATTGATGTTGTTATTGTTATGTTATTTATTGATGTTGTTATTGTTATATTATTATAATGATGTTATAATGTTATTTTGCTAGGAGATGATTATCAGCCCGTGTTTACTGGATTATTTAGAACAGGCTTTAGAACCTATACCTATATCTTTAACATCACAAATCAGCAAAAAAGGTAAGCCTTATAGGGAACTATATTATCAGATCATACTTTCTAAGTAAATGACTCAAACATATTCATTAACATTACTACTAAAATGCTTAACTATGATTCACTTGCTGTAAACAGATGTTTAGATATGGAAGTGTTTTTGATATTGTTCATTGAAGTACAGCACTTTATCATACAATTGTTCAGGTTTTTATAGTTCAGTTAAATTTGTGTCTGTGGTTTCACAATAGCAATGAAACACCCCATAGCATTTACATTACTGTTTTTATAAAACCATAATTATGTGACATTAACAAAGGTGACTGCACTCTCCCATCCTAACAGAAAAAGTAAAAGAGAAATGGTATAATATTATGTGAAATAACATAAAGAATGTAAAAAAAAAACCATTTAATAAATTTTTAAGATGGATTCAAGTTTGATTTCTACTACACTTTAAAGATGTTAAATGTTAATTTGTTCACAGAATCGCCGATAGCCCTTGACAGCTTGATGAATACAGATATGAATTCTTCATATACCTCATTGGGTGGTCCGGTCTTCATGGGGTCATTTCCTGTAGATGTTATAGTATTTCTGCGTGTTGAACCATCGATTATACGTTTTAACTGCCTGCCAGAGTCCAGAGTAGAATGCCTGCTTCAGGTGTGTGCAGAAAATATGTAAAGTTAAACTTAAATTCTCTTCACATGACATTCAAAATTTAGTTTCTTTTTAACCTATTGCAGAGATCAGTCAGTTCAATGCAGAACATTCATATTTCAATTTTGTAGTCAAAAGGAAGCCTTCTTAACAGATCTTATTTTAAGAATTTTTCATGGACAACCAATATTACTTTATGAAAAAAAATATCCTAAATGTCATGCCTTTTTGGTTTTAAAGATTAGATTTTTTTTTGGTATTTGTGAGCTGATATTGCTATATACATGTATATTGTTTGTGATTAAGATGTTACTGTGTTAAATACAGTATTAGCTAGAAATGCATACCACTGGTTTGTCTCAGTTTTACTTTATTTGCTTTCTTTATTTTCTGTATTATTCTGCTAACAGATGATCTGAGGTCTTTAAGAAATTGCCATGTGACCTTGATATAAGACAAATGTAAGAATATTAAAAGTCCAAAACATTATTGTATTTTTCTTACTTATTTATTTAATATGATCCAGGTTCCATCACTAGAGTTTGTTTTCTCTACAAAGAGATTGGACATAGAAACAGGTGGTGCAGGAAACGATGGAACCCCACCACTTAAAGCTAAATGTAAGTTTCTCTAATTTTTTAGCTCACCTGACCACGAAGTGGTCATGGTGAGGTATAGTGATGGGGCTATGTCCGGCGTCCGTCGTCGTGCGTCGTGCGTCGTTCGTCGTCAACAATTGGGTTGTTAACAGTCTAGCAGTCACAGTTTTGATTGGATCATCATCAAACTTTGTCAGAATGTTTGTCTCAATGAAATACAGATCGAGTTCGAAGATGGGTTATCTCGGGTCAAAAACTAGGTCACAGGAGCTAAAAATAGAAAAAGCTTGTTAACACTCTAGAGGCTGCAGTTTTCATCCAAATATTCTGGAAATTTGTCAGGAAGGTTGTTTTGATGATATCTAGGTCAAGTTCGAAGATGGGTCATCTCTGGTCAAAAACTAGGTCACGAGCTAAAAATAGAAAAAGCTTGTTAACACTCTAATAATTGGGTTGTTAACAGTCTAGCAGTCACAGTTTTGATTGGATCATCATCAAACTTTGTCAGAATGTTTGTCTCAATGAAATACAGATCGAGTTCGAAGATGGGTTATCTCCGGTCAAAAACTAGGTCACAGGAGCTAAAAATAGAAAAAGCTTGTTAACACTCTAGAGGCTGCAGTTTTCATCCAAATATTCTGGAAATTTGTCAGGAAGGTTGTTTTGATTATATCTAGGTCAAGTTCGAAGATGGGTCATCTCCGGTCAAAAAACTAGGTCACAGGAGCTAAAAATAGAAAAAAGCTTGTTAACACTCTAGTGGCTGCAGTTTTTCATCCAAATATTTTTGGAAATTTTGTCAGGAAGGTTGTTTTGATGATATCTAGGTCAAGTTCGAAGATGGGTCATCTCCGGTCAAAAACTAGGTCACAGGAGCTAAAAATAGAAAAAGCTTGTTAACACTCAAGTGGCCGCAGTTTTCATCCAAATTCTGGAAATTTGTCAGGAAAGTTGTTTTGATGGTTTCTAGGTCAAGTTCAAAGATGGGTCATCTCCGGTCAAAAACTAGGTCACAGGAGCTAAAAATAGAAAAAGCTTGTTAACACTCTATAGGCTGCAGTTTTCATCCAAATATTCTGGAAATTTGTCAGGAAGGTTGTTTAGATGATATCTAGGTCAAGTTTGAAGATGGATCATGTCTGGTCAAAAACTAGGTCACAGGAGCTAAAAATAGAAAAAGCTTGTTAACACTCTAGTGGCTGCAATTTTCATCCAAATATTTTGGAAATTTGTCAGGAAGGTTGTTTTGATTTTATCTAGGTCAAGTTCGAAGATGGGTCATGTCTGGTCAAAAACTAGGTCACAGGAGCTAAAAATAGAAAAAGCTTGTTAACACTCTATAGGCTGCAGTTTTCATCCAAATATTCTGGAAATTTGTCAGGAAGGTTGTTTAGATAATATCTAGGTCAAGTTTAAAGATGGATCATGTCTGGTCAAAAACTCGGTCACAGGAGCTAAAAATAGAAAAAGCTTGTTAACACTCTAGTGGCTGCAGTTTTCATCCAAATATTCTGGAAATTTGTCAGGAAGGTTGCTTAGATAATATCTAGGTCAAGTTCGAAGATGGGTCATCTCCGGTCAAAAACTAGGTCACAGGAGCTAAAAATAGAAAAAGTTTGTTAACACTCTAGTGGCTGCAGTTTTTCATCCAAATATTCTGGAAATTTGTCAGGAAGGTTGTTTTTTGATGATATCTAGGTCAAGTTGGAAGATGGGTAATGTCCGGTCAAAAACTAGGTCACAGGAGCTAAAAATAGAAAAAGCTTGTTAACACTCTAGTGGCTGCAGTTCTCATCCAAATATTCTGGAAATTTGTCAGGAAGGTTGTTTTGATGATATCTAGGTCAAGTTGGAAGATGGGTCATGTCCGGTCAAAAACTAGGTCACAGGTGCTAAAAAATAGAAAAAGCTTGTTAACACTCTAGTGGCTGCAGTTTTCATCTAAATATTTTGGAAACTTGTCAGGAAGGTTGTTTTGATGATTTTCAGGTCAAGTTCGAAGATGGGTTATCACCGGTCAAAAACTAGGTCACAGGAGCTAAAAATAGAAAAAGCTTGTTAACACTCTAGTGGCTGCAGTTTTGATTAAAATATTCTGGAAATTTGTCAGGAAGGTTGTTTTAATGATTTCTAGGTCAAGTTCGAAGATGGGTCATGTCTGGTCAAAAACTAGGTCACAGGAGCTAAAAATAGAAAAAGCTTGTTAACACTCTAATGGTTGCAGTTTTCATCCAAACATTCTGGAAATTTGTCAGAAAGGTTGTTTTGATGATTTCTAGGTCAAGTTCGAAGATGGGTCATCTCAGGTCAAAAACTAGGTCACAGGAGCTAAAAATAGAAAAAGCTTGTTAACACTCTAATGGCTGCAGTTTTCATCTAAATGTTCTGGAAATTTGTCAAGAAGGTTGTTTTGATGATATCTAAGTCAAGTTCGAAGATGGGTCATCTCCGGTCAAAAACTAGGTCACAGGAGCTAAAAAATAGAAAAGCTTGTTAACACATTAGGGGCTGCAGTTTTCATCCAAATATTCTTGAAATTTGTCAGGAAGGTTGTTTTGATGATGTCTAGGTCAAGTTCGAAGATGGGTTATCTCCGGTCAAAAACTAGGTCACAGGAGCTAAACATAGAAAAAGCTTGTTAACACTCTAGTGGCTGCAGTATTGATTCAAATATTCTGGAAATTTGTCAGGAAGGTTGTTTTGATGATTTCTAGGTCAAGTATGAAGATGGGCCATCTCAGGTCAAAAACTAGGTCACAGGAGTTAAAAATAGAAAAAGCTTGTTTACACTCTAGTGGCTGCAGTTTTTATTCAAATATTCAGGAAATTTGTCAAGAATGTTGTTTTGATGTTTTCTGGGTCAAGTGCTAAGATTGGTCATGTCTGGTCAAAAACTAGGTCACAGGAGCTAAAAATAGAAAAATCTTTTTAACACTCTAGTGGCTGCTGTTTTGATCCAAATTTCCTGGAAATTGGTCAGGAAGGTTGTTTTGATGATTTCTAGGTCAAGTTTGAATATGGGTCGTGTCCAGTCAAAAATTAGGTCACATTGCCCAAATATGGAAAAATCTTTATAACACACTAGAGGTCACATGTTTGACTCAGTCGCATCAAACTTGGTCATGATGCTTGTTTAAGACATTGCTTGGATGCGGTTGTGTCAGGTGAGCGATCCAGGGCCATCATGGCCCTCTTGTCTTAAAGAAATGATATGCTTTACAAACAGAAGTAATATTTGAAGAACAATATCTTGATATGTCTTGCATTTCTTTCAATTCTAAAGGAGACAGTGTTACAATTCATTTAAATTTGTGGTTAATTTTTAGCTCATCTGAGCTTGCTCAGGGTGAGCTTTTAGGATCGTTGAATGTCTTTCGTCCGTCCACACTTGTTCGTTAACACTCTAGCGGTCACATTTTTGCCTCAATCATAATCAAACTTTGTCAGAATGTTTATCTAGTTGATAGCTCGAATGAGTTTGAACATGGGTCATCACGGATGAAAAACTAGGTCACAGGAGCTAAAAATAGAAAAACCTTGTTAACACTCTAGCGCTCACATTTTTGCCTCAATCATAATCAAACTTTGTCAGGATGCTTGTCTAGGTGATAGCTTGGATGAGTTCGAAGATGGGTCATCTCGGATGAAAAACTAAGTAAAAACCTTGTTAACACTCAAGCGGTCATATTTTTGACTCAATCATCATCAAACTTGATCAGAATGCTTGTCTAGGTGAAAGCTCGAATGAATTTGAACATGGATCATTTCGGATGGAAAACTAGGTCACAGGAGCTAAAAATATAAAAACCTTGTTAACACTCTAGCAGTCACATTTTTGACTCAAGTGTCATCAAACATGGTCAGGATGCTTGTCTCGGTAATTGCTCAGATGCGTTTGAACATGGGTCATCTCGAATGAAAAACTAGGTCACAGGAGCTAAAAATAGAAAAATCTTGCTAACACTAGTGGCTGCTGTTTTGATCCAAATATCCTGTAAATTGGTCTGAAAGTTTGTTTTGATGATTTCTAGGTCAAGTCTGAATATGGGTCACCTTGGGTCATAAACTAGGTCACACTGCCCAAATATGGAAAAACCTTGTTAACATTCTAGTGGTCACATTTTTGACTCAAATATCATCAAACTTGGTAGGATGCTTGTCTAGGTAATTGCTCAGATGCGTTTGAACATGGATCATCTCGTATGGAAAACTTGGTCACCTGAGCTAAAAATAGAAAAATCTTATTAACAATCTTGTGGCTACTGTTTTGATCCAAATATCCTGGAAATTGGTCTGAAAGTTTGTTCAAATGATTTCTAGGTCAAGTTCGAACATGGGTCATATCGGATGAAAAACCAGGTCACACTGCCCAAATATGGAAAAACCTTGTTAACACTGTAGTGGTCACATTTTGACTCAATTATCATCAAACTTGGTCAGGATGCTTGTCTAGGTAATTGCTCGGATGAGTTCGAACATGGGTCATCTCGCATGAAAAACTAGGTCACTGGAGCTAAAAATAGAAAAATCTTGTTAACACTCTAGTGGCTGCTGTTTTGATCCAAGTATCCTGGAAATTGGTCTGAAAGTTTGTTTTGATGATATCTAGGTCAAGTTCGAATATGGGTCACCTGGGTAAAAAACTAGGTCACACTGCTCAAATATGGATAATCCTTGTTTACACTCTAGTGGTCACATTTTTGACTCACCTGTCATGAAACTTGGTCAGAATGCTTGTCTAGGTAATTGTTCGGATGAATTTGATGGGTCAGGTGAGTGATCTAGGGCCATCATGGCCCTCTAGGGCCATCATGGCCCTCTTGTTAGATTATCTAAAAGATAAAAAGTGATGTGTCCGTTTTGGTGTACCACTTAAGGAAGCTATCCAGCTAGCTTATGGAAGGTAGGTAGCTCTACCCAGATACTTGTTCGTGTCTGAAATAAGCACAAACAGGCACCTTAGGTTTTCCTCTACCAGTAAAGGTGAAAAAATCACTACTGACCATTACAGTGTTAATGTGAAATTAATGCCAATAAAAGAAGCAGACAAAGGTTATGATGAAAGATCATAAAATTCATCTTTTGTCAAATAATTTGTCAGTATCTGACATATGCCATGCATATTAATTGTATCCTGTTTTTAGCGAGGTCAGGGGCCATATAGATGTGCACTTGTCTGTCTGTCCTGCTGCTCAGTATACTTTCAAAATAGTGGAATGTGGGGGCATTATTATCCAAATTGAATTTTTGTGTTCCCACTTTGGGGGGGGGGGGGCATTTAGATTTATCCTTTTCTGTCCGTCCTTCCTTCCATCTGTTCTCTTTTGTGTCGCATGTAGCTCAAAAAGAATTTGAGCTAGAGTCATGAAACTTTACAGGAATGTTGATCAGCATGTGTAGTTGTGCACCTGGGTATTTTCATGTGGATTTATTTAGTATTTTTAGAGTAATTGCCCTTGACTCAGTAAAAATTTGCCGTTTTCAACTTGTGTCGCACGTAACTCAAAAAGGTTTTGAACTACAGTCATGAAACCTTACAGGAATGTTGCTTACCATGTGAAGTTGTGCACATGGAGTTTCACTTGTGGATTCATTATGTTTTGTAAGAGTAATTGCCCTTGACTTAGCAAAAATTTGCAGTTTTCAACTTGTGTCGCATGTAGGTCAAAAAGTATTTAAGCTACATGTAGGGTCTTGAAACTTCACAGGAATGTTCATCAGCATGTGTAGTTGTATTTGCAGAGTTATTGTCATTGATTTAGTAAAAGTTTGCAATTTTCAATTTGTGTCACATGTAGCTCAAAAGTATTTGACATAGTGTCATGAAACTTAAGGGGAATGTTGATCAGCATGTGAAGTTGTGCACCTGGGGTTTTGCTTGTGAATTTATATGTTTTGTCAGAGTTAGTGATTTAGTGAAAATTTGCAATTTTCAATTTTTGTGGTGCGTAGCTCAAAATGTATTTAACCTAGAGTCATGAAACTTTACAGGAATGTTGGTCAGCATGTGTAGTTGTTCACCTTAGGTTTTGCTTGTGGATTTATCCAGTATTTGTAGAGTTATTGCCCTTGACTTAGTAAAAACAGTTCATTATGTTGTGTTATTTGCCCCTTGTGTGCTGAGTTTGAGAATCAACCAGCTTTACAGGAATAATGATCAACATCACTAAAGTTATGCTCCTGGGACTTTGCATGTGGATATTTTCAGTTTTGTATGAGTAATTGACCTTAACTTACAGTAGTATAAATTTGCAATTTTCAACTTGTTCATGCATAGCTCAAAAAGTATTTGGCCTGTTGGCCTGAAAGTTTACAAGAATGTTGGTCAGCATGTGTACTTATGCACATTGGGTTTTTATTGAGGATTTATTCAGTATATTTTAAGTTCTCACCCTTTACTCAGAAAAAGAGTTTTAGTTTACAACTTGTGGCACATGTAGTCCAAAAAATATTTGACCTAGAGTCATAAGATTGACAAAACAGTGGAATGTGGGGGCACCTGTGTCCTATGGACACATTTTTAGTTTTCAACCAGGTTTTCAACGAAAACCGGGTTATTGTAATGCCGAAGTCGGCGGGCGGGTTCGGGCTTCAACTTTTGGTTTTCACTCAATAACTTTAGTTTGCTTTGGCCTATTGACTCCAAACTTGGTGTGTAGGTATCTTATATCAAGAGGCAGCTTGGGATTGCTACCCAGGTGTTTGTGATCAAGGTCAAGGCCACTGTTACTAAAAATAGAAATTCAGTTTCCGCTCAATAACTTGACTTTGCTTTGACCTATTGACACCAAACTTGGTGTGTAGGTAGCTTATATCAAGAGGCAGCTTGGGATTGCTACCCAGGTGTCTGTGATCAAGGTCAAGGTCACTGTTACTAAAAATAGAAATTCAGTGTCCGCTCAATAACTTGACTTTGCTTTGGCCTATTGACACCAAACTTGGTGTATCGATAGCTTATATCAAGAGGCAGCTTTGGATTGCTACCCAAGTGTCTTCAAGAGCCAGCTTGGGATTGCTTCCCAGGTGTCTGTGATCAAGGTCAAGGTCACTGTTACTAAAAATAGAAATTCAGTTTCTGCTCAATAACTTGAGTTTGCTTTGGCCTATTGACACCTTACTTGGTGTATGGATAGCTTATACCAAGAGGCAGCTTGGGATTGTTACCCAGATGTGTGTTATCAAGGTCAAGGTCACCGTTACTTAAAATAGAAATTCAGTTTCTGCTCAATAACTTGAGTTTACTTTGGCCTATTGACACCAAACTTGGTGTATGGATAGCTTATATCAAGAGGCAGCTTGGGATTGCTATCCAGGTGTCTGTGATCAAGGTCAAGGTCACTGTTACTAAAAATAGAAATTCAGTTTCTGCTCAATAACTTGAGTTTGCTTTGGCCTATTGACACCAAACTTGATGAATGGGTAGCTTATATCAAGAGGCAGCTTGGGATTGCTACCCAGGTGTCTGTGATCAAGGTTAATGTATTTAGTTTTCATGTTATAACTTGAGTTTGCTTTGACCTTTTGACACCAAACTTGCTGAGTGGCAGCTTTGGATTGCCACTTAGATATCTGGGAGCAAGTTCAAGGTCATTTGCTTACAATAGAATTTTCAGCTTCTACTCAATAACTTCAGTGCACTTTGACCTATTGATTGCTGTCACATCAAAACTTGGTCGTTGAAAACCTGGTTTTCGTCGCATTGCGGCGCTTCTTGTTTACTTTATTGAAACAAATGGTAATGTTTTGGATCAGGACTTTGTACACCTTTAAGGGCTTATTAGTACATTTATATGTAAAATAGATTAAACTGAATAATGAAAAGGTTGGAATTGATTGCTATAATTTCTTTTTTAACCAGGTTTTCCGAAGGAAAAAACTGGTTATTAGATTGAGGTATGTCGGCGGGCGGACGGGCGGGCGTAAACAATTTCTTCTGTGCGCAACTCCTCCTACATTTCTCAACGGATTTTGACCAAACTTTCACAGAAGCTTTGTCATCAAGTGCCCTGGCGCATATTGTCGGGGTTTTGCGATTAGATAATATTTGACCTAATTATGGCCCTTTGTTTTTTTTCCTTATATAAAATATATAGTGAACAATTTCTTCTGTGCGCAACTCCTCCTACATTTCTCAACGGATTTTGACCAAACTTTCTCAGAAGCTTTGTCATCAAGTGCCCTGACACATATTGCCAGGGTTTTGCAATTGGTATATATTTGACCTAATTATGGCCCTTTGTTTTTTTTTCCTTATATAGAATATATAGTGAACAATTTCTTCTGTGCGCAACTCCTCCTACATTTCTCAACGGATTTTGACCAAACTTTCTTAGAAGCTTTGTTATCAAGTGCCTGGCACATATTGTCGGGGTTTTGTGATTGGATAATATTTGACCGAATTATGGCCCTTTGTATATTTTTTTCCTTATACAGAATATATAGAGAACAATTTCTTCTGTGCTCAACTCCTCCTACATTTCTCAACAGATTTTGACCAAACTTTCTTAGAAGCTTTGTTTTCAAGTGCCTGGCACATATTGTCGGGGTTTTGTGATTGGATAATATTTGACCGAATTATGGCCCTTTGTATATTTTTTCCTTATACAGAATATATAGTGAACAATTTCTACAGTGCCCAACTTCTCCTACATTTCTCTCAATGGATTTTGACCAAACTTTCACAGAAGCTTTGTCATCAAGTGCCCTGGCGCTCACTAAATTCCCATGTTTCTTCCAAGACATCATTCAAGTATTTTTTAAAATTGTGAACATACTTTTCTTGATATCGCACAAAACACCACACGCCAATATTGTTGACAAAAGAAAATGACAAGAGACGCAAAAATGCAAAAATTAAGCAAAAATAAAGTACTGTTTACCTTTCTAAAACATTTGGGAAAAAAAAGGTGAATAGACAACATAAAATTTCTCAATCATTTTTGTTTGAGGAATATTAAAAAAGCCATAATTCCTCCTAAAAGTTCAATTAAAAACAAATGCCCCTTCATGACAAAGCTTCTGTGAAATATTTTGCTGAAAACCTGGTTGCATCGCATTGCGATGTTCCTTGTTGTAATTTTTCTTTTTACAGTTGGGAAGAAAATGCGGGAACGTAACTTAAGTGGAGGAAAAGAGGGTAAGGCAAGATCTGCGAGTACAACCTCTGATCTCGGTACCATGACATCCTCTGGTGGTCTCAGTGTTACAGGATGTCTCACAGATTTCTCACTCTACATTTTTCACCCCTATGGTGGTGGTCAAAGAAAAATGGGCATTCAAACATCACCTAGAATCTTAGGTAAGAATAAGCTTGAACACTACATGTTTGATTTGGAAAAATTATTTATTATGCAAACATGTCTTTTACACTACTTGATTTACCATGTATTTATTTAAATTTAATATATTTCTGATGATTCAAAGATAAGTGTTTTTTTCATGTGGTTTTAAAAAATTCAGTTGCAAACAAATGAGTGCTTTTAAAATTTTGATCACATAGGTGACTATGCCAATATTGTAAATCTCATAGGTGCTGCTGTGCCAATATTTTAAATTACGTAGGAATCTCTGGAAAAATTATCTTTTTCACCAAAAAAGTGTTAATTATGCCCCCCTTCGAAGAAGAGGGGGTATATTGTTTTGCTAATGTCGGTCTGTCTGTCTGTCTGTCTGTCTGTCTGTCGGTCCGTCCGTCGGTCTGTCCGTCGGTAGACCACATGGTTTCCGCTGATTATCTTGAAAAGTATTTATCACAAAGTCTTCATATTTCACATAGTGATTGGTCATCACTAGTAGATGACCCCTATTGATTTTGGGGTCACTAGGTCAAAGGTCAAGGTCACAAGAACCTTAAATGTCAAAATGGTTTCCGCTGATTATCTTGAAAAGTATGTATCACAAAGTCTTCATATTTCACACAGTGATTGGTCATCACTAGTAGATGACCCCTATTGATTTTGGGGTCACTAGGTCAAAGGTCAAGGTCACAGGGGCCTTAAATGTCAAAATGGTTTCCGCTGATTATCTTGAAAAGTATGTATCACAAAGTCTTTATATTTCACATAGTGATTGGTCATCACTAGTAGATGACCCCTATTGATTTTGGGGTCACTAGGTCAAAGGTCAAGGTCACAAGGGCCTTAAATGTCAAAATGGTTTCTGCTGATTATCTTGAAAGTATGTATCACAAAGTCTTCATATTTCACATAGTGATTGGTCATCACTAGTAGATGACCCCTATTGATTTTGGGGTCACTAGGTCAAAGGTCAAGGTCACAGGGACCATAAAATGTCAAAATGGTATCCGCTGATTATCTTGAAAAGTATGTATCACAAAGTCTTCATATTTCACATAATGATTGGTCATAACTAGTAGATGACCACTATTGATTTTGGGGTCACTAGGTCAAAGGTCAAGGTCACAGGGGCCTTAAATGTCAAAAGGGTTTCCGCTGATTATCTTGAAAAGTATTCATCACAAAGTCTTCATATTTCACCTAGTTATTGGTCATAAGAAGTAGATGATCTCTATTGATTTAGGTCAAAGGTCAATGTCACATGGGCCTTAAATGTCAAAATGGTTTCCGTTGATTTTTCCATAATTGAACACTTCCATGTACCCATTTTTGGCAAGTTTATGTAATAAAATGATCAATTATGTGAGTCAATGGCTAGAAAGGGGGGTATATGTGTCGTTCGTCATTCTTGTTCTAAATTGTATTAAGCTATTAGTAAAATGAGTGATAAATATTTTACAGGTAGTATAGAAGAACAAACTATATTGGGAGATATTAATAGGAAAGATTCTCTCAGTCTAAATCTTGAATATGTGAATCTAAACATATCTAGGACTAGGAAACTTGAAGTTAGAATGGACACGTCTTCTGAGAAATTCAACATCGTCAGATTCTCAAGTAAGTACCAGATTGACAGAATATTATTCTGCATGAACTACTGTTCTTCTTTTTATAGCCAGACTATGTGGTAATATATAAAGGATTGATATATAAATTTTTATTTTTGTACCATGAATGCTTGTTGATGACCATTACCAGCATATGTAAGCTGGAGTACATACATTGTAACTTTCTCAACATTTTTTCTTATTGCCTTGTCGCTTTTTATGAGTCCACAAGCATTAAATTACCTGTTTTTATTCCACTGGCAAGAATTAAGGAAGTCCAATTGGCTGACTTGCAGACAGCTCTTGTTTATCGTCATGAAATAAGAACTTAACATTAAGGTTTAGATTATATTTAGGCAGTTCAGGCAATTTTCAAATAGTTACAAATCTGTTAATATTTCAGTTTTTTTGTTCTTTAGAGGCTCCCACGTGAATTATTTTTTCATCTGTTTGATCATAGATGATTGTTATACTGCATGCCTGAATGTTGTTGTATTGAACAATTTCTAACTTCTTGCCCCACACTGCTATAGTTTTGAGCCGCCCAAGTGTCATTGGATTTTACATGTGAGAAAGCTATCCAGTTGGCTAACCGGACGTTGGCCGTTCTACACAGGTGCCTGTTTGTAAACTAAATAACATACCTGAGGTTTTCCTCCACCAGTAAAGCTGGAAAGTTTCCATATGACCTATATATTGTGTTGGTGCGACATAGAACCCAAGCAAAAAACAAGAACTGAATAATTATCCCTATTTCTCGTATTAGGGTTTCTTGTGTTATAGAAAGGGGCATGCTAAAACTGATGGAATCAATGCTTAGGAATCTGAAAACATACTTTGAAGCACTGATTTACCTATATCATAAAGCTCAGTTTGAAATGAAACAAAAATAGATTTGGAACATTTTTTCTTCAATAACAGTAAATCTAGAAAAAATGTTTCATAATTTCTACTTTGATATTAATCATACTATAGTTCAGTTTATTTGAATCATAAAACACAAATATTTCCAATGATAATGAATTTAAAACACTCAATTAAGAGCCGCTGTAATGATTTGAATATATATGTAGAAAAAAATCATCAAATATCAACCAGCTTCTGCAACCAATCAAATTCCCAGATAATACGAAAAAGTTCCTAGTTCATGCAAAGATTGCAGGTCAGTATTTACAAATAAAAAAATGTACCTACTGTTTATGGCTATGAAGTTTTCTTTGTTTATTATGGCCGAATGAGATACTTCTCTGTGTACTGGGCAGGAACCAGTTTCCGGACAGAATTCGAGTCTTTTTAATTGTCTATTTTTTAATAATAAAGATGCATTAGTAAAACTAACATACCAAAAACCTGAGCTCTAACTACGTCCAATAACACAATTAATACTGCCTGGTGACGTAAGCAATGTACAAACTGAAGGGTTAAATTAGGTCATCAAAAGTGTAAATTGTTCACTCTTGCAGAACCAGTTTCCGGACATATATTAAGCTGCTATTTATATATGTTTTAACTGATAATTACTCTAATATAACAACAAATTTATTCGCACATATAAGCTTTCTTATATATTTAAGCTGATTTACTGAAAAATGTTTATGATAGGAAAAATAAATAAAAAAAATAACGATCACGTGATGGGTCTCGAAATGACTGAAAAGTGAAACAGATATTTTTGTGTGTACAGCAGCAACGAAGTGCGAAAGTGGAGTAAACCTAGCTAAACACCGTTTCCCGATACGTTACAGATTTAGCTCTGGGGGTACACCCAATGAACTTCAAATGAAGTACATTGTGCATTAATTGCAACCCCAAATTATATCCCGAAATTAACAAAATATTGCGCATGCGCAGAACAAATTACATGCCCCAAAGGGATATAAGGCTGTTTTTAAAACACAGGTAAGATATCCTCACGAAATTTTAATGATGTATCAACTTGGAAGGAAGTTTACTTTCTCAAACAATCAAACCAAGCATCTTCATGACATATAATACCGATCGTCATCAATAAAGCCAAAATTAAGCTGTTATAATACTTGTCCGGAAACTGGTATTGTCCGGAAACTGGTTCCTGCCCAGTATAGTGCAAAAATTCTATGAACAAAATTAATGTTATGTTAAGTTCATCCATGGCAGTTTAGTCCATAGGCCCATGATAATACGAGAAACAGGGATACATATTGAAATTTAAAAGAAAGACCACCATTTCTAATGTTAACATGTAGTTTCATTGTACTTTGTAGCTGTATGTGATATAGGGACAGCTGCCTTTAAATATGACATGAGAAGACTTTCAGAAATTCTGTCTTTCCCGAAAGCCTGGTATAGACGTAACTTAGCACGCAGACTATTCCTAGGTGATGAAAGCTGGTTTATGGAAGACGAAGGTATTTCAGTTAGAAACATTTTTCGCCTTTGTTATTTTATTATTTTCTGAGTTGTTGTTGTTGTTGTCATTGTTGTAAAAATGTTGTAAATACTGAGTTTTATTTTTCTTGTTGATTGCAACATAGGCGTGCTTACTTAATGGTAAGAGGCTATAAAACTAATACAGAAGGTAAAGGGTTCTATTTGGGCATTCATTTGCACCTGAAAGAATTTACCAATGTGCAACAGAGGTCTTCCTGTCATTAGTAGGGCTAGAAAGTTGGCACATGACCTGTACGATTTGGATGACTTAAAAGTTAAGGAAAATAAGAAGACAGTGATTGTATTGTCCTAATTTTCTCATTACATGTACAAGGATTGCCGTCAATGTTGAGTAGTTACTTAGTTCTTGTGCAGAATTAGAATACTTTAAAAAATTTAACGTTTTAATGACATGCTTTTGTAACTCATAGTCTTCTTATTCCAGAAGTTAAAATTTAAGGTACATATACCAAAAGTAAAGTGGATTTAAGAAAATGAATTGATTGCATAATAAATATATATACATTTTTGTATATCTGTGTGTTGAAATTTGTCAGGGAAAAAGCGACGGCATTTGAAAAGAGGTAAAGGTGTATATACATGTATATTCCAGAAAAACAGTTACAAAAGCTTAACCTAACTTTTACTTAATTACCAGACTATACTTTGCTTTCAGATTCACACTGGTATAAACTCGAATAAATACATAGGATATTAATAAATGGGGATACAGTGAATTACAGTAAATAATATTCTTTACTTTGCCAGTTTTATGTAATTGACATGTCCTGCTTAGAAATTGGAATGGTCCATATTTGATGTTTTTTTATTTACATTTACAGATATTATCCCAACTGTTTCTGAAGTTATTTTGCAAATTTAGAATCTACTTTCAATTCAACTTTATGCATCATTGATTGAAGGGATTTGTGAAGTGTTTCCCAAGTTATTTTACAAATTATACCTTCTTTGAATTTGAAATAGTGCACCATTTATTGTGGAGATTTTAGATTAAAATGCTAACACTTAACCTGCTTGAACTCAAAATGCCTAGTACAGGGCCAGACCGACCTGCACATATCCCTAGTACAGGGCCAGGCCGACCTGCACATATCCCTAGTATAGGGCCAGGCTGGCATGCACATATCCCTAGTATGGGACCAGGCTGGCCTGCACATATCCCTAGTACAGAGCTAGGCTGGCCTGCACATATCCCTAATACAGGTCCAGACTTGCCTGCACATATCCCTAGTACAGGGCCAGGCCGACCTGCACATATCCCTAGTACAGGGCCAGGCTAGCCTGTACACCAGTGCAGTGTGACAACAATGCTCTATCCTGTTGGTAGCTCAGGTCTGTATGTTTTATCCTTTAAAAGTTAGAATTGACTGTTCTAAATTAAAAGCAGGACATATCCATTATAAATACTCGGCAGGTCTGTGGCTAATTTGAGCAAACAACAGTATAAGAGTCAGGTGGGACTGTACAGATACACTATACTGGGGGCATCGCTCTTCATTTATCCTAGACAATGTATTCAACCTTGATGCCAAACCTACATTTACATGTACCTATAAATTGACCTTTGAATAACCAATTTAATTTGCTTTTGACACCTGATTATATAGATGCATTTATTTTACCATAAATGCATACCTCTATCCTCAATTCATAGTACTAATACTTTGCCTCAATAAAAATGCATAACTGAATTTATAAACAAATTTGAAGGAAGTGTTAGTTGATAGGGAAAGAGGATATGAAAATAACAGGATTCACAATAGTGTTCTGCATTCAAAGTTTTTCATTTACTGTTTTCATTTACATGGTACAAAGTTTCATGTCTTTAATATGCTATCATAATGAGATAGCCTCATGTTTGTATAGCCTCGATTTGTTTTATTAGCCTCATGTTTATAAGCCTCAGTGTTTAGAATGTTGGCATGACATTGTTGTAATTGTTGTTTTCTCTAGTTTCTTTTGTTAGTGTATTTGTGTTATTTTTTCAGTTATGTTGTTTTCAGATAGTTCAAGCTTGTCGTCTACCTCCTCATTTCCGGGGCGCATGGAGTCACTCCTCAGCCCCCAATTTACAAGAATACCCTGCACTTCCTCCCCCACCCTGCATGCACACTCATTAAGTGACCTTGAACTTATTCAAGGTCATCAGCGCAGTGGTTCATCCGGAGATAAAAACACTACTCAGATAAGTGCAGAGTTGAAAAGAGAACTAGCTCATAGGATATCCGAGAAAAGAGGTGTGTTTGTATATAAATTTATTTTTATCATCTATATTGCTTGACTAATGTTAAGGTGTCTTTCTAAGTTAGTTTACTTTTTCTCCTCTATATTTGTGTAGTGGACTTGCTCTGCATTGAATTAAATACTATTTGTTGTTAATTTAAGAGGTTTTCATTTTGTATTGAACATAAAAACCGTATGGTTTTAATTTTGATGGAGCTAATTAGAAATAAAGATTTAATTTTAATAATTTGTTAATTTTACATTAAGTAATCAATACTGTAATTTAGGAAGCAAGGTGCATTGTCTAGTTAGACTGTACAAACACAATGTTTTACTGAAAACTGTCACCTGGGCCTTTTGCTGTTTGAACTATTTTTTATAACTTCCTAAAACTTCACAATTGTTATGTGTTATGAAAATACGTTATATAACAAAATAATAATAAAAACAGCTTGTTTGGCATTTTATTTTAATATTTTATAAATTTTTACAAACTAATGTTAGTTATAGTTAGATTGTAAGTTTTTAAATGTTAACTTACTGTAAACCTAGTTTTCTTTGTGCTGTTTTTCTTTTTTTTTGCACTGAAATAGAATGCATGCTAAATACTCTTCATCCTATTGTATCCATATATTGCCTATGTTATACCACCCATGTAGTAACATATATCATTCTCTGTATTAATGGAATACTGACATTAGTCATTGCAATATTTCAATTCCCACTTACTGTTTATCTCTCATAAGGAAAATTTACTTTCTTCCTATTTTTGAAAAAAAAAAATATTTTAGTATGTGCATTAATATCAAATATGTTACATTTCTGAGTACTATTTTTTGATATTTCACATGCTTATATAGTTATTTTTAATTCTCTGTGGTGTAAAAATCCATAAAGGTGTCCTTGATTGTATTGAAAGTCAGTAATAGCTCTTTGAATTTTAATCAGTATCAACAATATTTAATTCTTGGAAAAGTGTTGCTTTTATTATACCGCCAACAAAAGAAGTTTGTGGGGGTTTACTAGAGTCAGCTGGTGGTCGGTCAGTTGATTGGTCAGTCTGTCTGTTGCAGATTTCATGTCCAGGACATAACTCAAAATGTACAAGAGATATCAACTTCAAATTTTGTTGGAAGATAGATCTCATTGAGTAGAAGTGCAGTGCAAAAGAATTGTAACTCTGCCTTGCATAATTTTGGCCTTTGTTCATTTTTACACTTTGAACTTTGTCCAGGACATAACTTGAGATCTATAAAAGTTATCAACCAGAAACTTTGTAGGTAGATAGATCTCACTGAGTGCAGAGCAGATAAACCGTAATCCTCCATACCCTAATTCTGGAGGTGTTGGCCTTTGTTCATTTTTACACTTTGAACTTTGTCCAGGACATAACTTGAGAACTATAAAAGGTTTCAACAGTAGGTAGATAGATCTTACTAAGTAGAAGTGCAGAAATATCAGGGAGAAAGAACGTATTGCCCTTAAAAGAAGTCATGAAACTTCAAATCCAAACTTTACTTTTTCTTATTGGTGTTGGACAAATAATTCAAAAACAATTTAAAAAATCTACAAACAAATGCATTCTCCCTATGTGCAACATTATTAACTAAAAAGCATGTTTTCTGAGCTAACATAATGCATACTACATTACTAAATACAAAACTTAATTTCATTCTTTAACAACAGCCATATTTCGAGTTAGTGAATTTTGTAATAAAGTATTTGTTATTTGTATTTTTTCCCCATCTCACCTGAGCCGTAGCTCAAGTGAGCGAGCTAATAGCATGATACATGTAATTAGTTCATTGCCTACTGTCAGCAGTTAACACTCAAAAGGTTACAGTTTATATTGGATCTTCCTCTTAACACTATAGAGGTAAAGAGAAATTTTGTTAACAGCATAATTGTCACAATTTTGAGCTTATCATCAATCACCAATTTTTATGAGTGAGACTAAAAAAAGGATTGGAGCACCACACTAAATACCGTATTCCAATACATACCAGACAAGATGCGTGAATTATTAAGTGCTAAAATCTCGCCTTTTCACCTTACGGAATGAACTTTAAAACGTCTAAATCATCTTTTCACACTGATTTATATTCTATAAGGAATGAAATATGTGATAATTGGCTAAAAAAAAATATTTGTCTATCTTGTGATCATGATTTCTGCAAGCTGCTCCAATCCTGTATTGAGTTAAATCCAATTTTTATTAGACTCTTTATATTACTGATATCTCAGATGAGTTTCAATGTAACTTAGGTCAAAAACAAGGTCACTTGGTCAAATCAAAGAAAAACCCTGTATCAGTTTTGGTAAGAATGAATATATGTTTAATTAAATTCCAGCATTTAGACTCAGGTGAGTAAATATGAGCTTTCATGGCCTCTAGAATTTCTTCCTTTTAAGATGGTCTCGGTTCCAATCTCAAGTTATTTTTCATTTTTTGTCAACAAACTTTTTCATCTGCAGAAATCCATAGAAGAAAGTAAAATGATTCTTTATTCTAAAATTATGAAAAGTGACAAAATGATTTTACAATAATAAATAAGAAAAAAATATATAAAAACCATCAATAAACTAGTATGTATGTACTACTTTTATGGAAGTAAAAAAATTAGGTCATTTTTAGCTCAGCTGTCACAAAGTGACAGGGTGAGCTTTTGTGATCGCTTTTCGTCCGGCGTCCGTAAATTTTTACTTTAAATGACATCTCCTCATAAACCAATAGGCCAATTTCATCCAAACTTCACAGGAATGTTCCTTTGGTGGTCACCTTTAAAAAAATTGTTCAAAGAATTTAATTCCATGCAGAACTCTGGTTGCCATGGCAACCAAAAGAAAAACTTTAAATATCTTCTTTTAAAAAACCCTAAGAGCTAGAGCTTAGATATTTGACATGAAACATCTTCTAGTGAGTGTCTACCAAGTTTGTTCAAATAAAAGCCCTGGGGTCAAAATTGGCCCCGCCCCAGGGGGTCATTGATTTTCCCTATATGGATATAGTAAAAACTTAAAAAATCTTCTTTTAAAGAACCCAAAGAGCTAGAGCTAAGATATTTAGCATGAAACATCTTCTAATGAGTGTCTACCAAGTTTGTTCAAATAAAAGCCCTGGGTTCAAAATTGGCCCCGCCCCAGGGGGGTCATTGATTTTCCCTATATGGATATGGTAAAAACTTAAAAAATCTGCTTTTAAAGAACTCAAAGAGCTAGAGCTAAGATATTAAGTATGAAACATCTTCTGGTAAGTGTCTACAAAGTTTGTTCAAATAGAATCCCTGAGGTCAAAACTGGCCATGCCCCAGGGGTGTCATTGTTTTTAACTATATGTGTATAGTAAAAACTTAAAAAATCTTCTCTTAAAAAAACCCAATGAGCTAGAGCTTAAATGTTTTGCATGAAAACATCTTCTTATGGGTGTCTACAAAGTTTGTTCAAATAAAAGCCCTTTGGTAAAAATTGGCCCTGTGCCGGGGGGGGGGGGGGATGGGTGGGTTGGGGACAGAGGTCATTGTTTTACATTATATGTGTGTAGTAAAAACTTAACATCAAGAAACATCTTCTAATGGGTGTCTTCCAAGTTTGTTCAAATAAAAGCCCAGGGGTTTAAACTGGCCCTGCTCCAGGGGCCTATATACAGGTGAGCGACCTCAGGGCCATCATGGCCCTCTTGTTTAACAAAATCTTAAAAATCTTCTTGGCAAAATCCACAAGGTGTGGAGCTTTGATATTTGGTATGTAAGATGATTTAGTGGTCCTTTGCAAAGATTGTTCAAATTATGCCCCAAGGATGAAAAGGGGCCCTGCAAGGGGGCTTATCGATTTAAAAGGAAAAAATTATAAAAAAAACATCTTGTCAAAAAAATAAGGCCTACAGCTTTGATATTTGGTATGTTACATCATCTAGTGGTTCTCTACAAAGATTGTTCAAATAGGATGAAAAGGGGCCCGCCAGGGTGCTTATCCATTTTTAGCTCACCTGTCAGTCTGCCATCCGTCCATCCAGAACTCTGGTTGCCATGGCAACCAAAAGATTTTTTTATAAAAATATTTAAAGACCTTCTTGTCAAAAACAACAAGGTGTAGAGCTTTGATATTTGGTATGTAGCATCATCAAGTAGTCCTCAACAAAGATTATTCAAATTATGCCCCTTGGGTCAAAAGGGGCCTCATCAGTTTTACGTAGAGTTATATATCTTAAATCTAAAAGAATTGTCTTATCAAATACCACAAGGCCTGGAGCTTTGATATTTGATACATAACATCATATAGTAATCCTCTACAAAAACAAATTATGCCTAGAGTTATATAATTATTTAAAAAAAATCTTCTTGTCAAAAACCACAAGGCTTAGAGCTTTGATATTTGGTATGTAACATCATTTAGTGGTCTTCTACAAAGTTTGTTTGAAAATTTTTTAATTATCCAATTTATCTTTATGTTAAACTGATGAGCCCCTATATGGGGCCCCTTTTAACCCTAGGGGCATAATTTGAACAATCTTTTTAAAGGTCCTCTGCAAAGATTGTTGAAATTTTGCTCCTAGCCTGTTTGTCTTCAGTGCAGCGACCCAGGACCCAAGGGCCCTCTTGTTTAAATTTTTTTTGCAAAATGAAATTTATTGTTGATTTTCTCATAAAAAAGTCATGACATGAAAGTTAAATTCTTGCAGGAATTGATATAAATCAAGAATGTCGGCTAACTAATAAATTATGTTGTTTTTTTTTGCTAGGAATGTCAGCCCCTCAGTCTCCCATTGATGCATACCACAGTCCCGACTTTCACCACACAACACCAGGTGCAACACCAAGTAGCTCCCAGACCAGGATGAAAAACCAGGCCATGACGAATCGTCGTAATAGCCAACAACAGAACATAACACCCCAGATATCCAGGATGGCGAGTGAACGAAAGAGTGCAGGGTGGCAGACGCTCGTTATGTATGCCGTCAACCTGAAACAACTGGATGTGAATGTGAACATGAGTAATGTGATGGGAAATACTGTGTATGTTTTTATTTTAATATTTTATGCAAATTTTTAAAACCATAACAAATTTTTAACAGAAGTATGGATACTGAAGGGGACATTAGAAAAAGTCTCCGAGTCTGCATGTGCCTGCATCTGTCCTAATTTTGTCTGAGCATATCTCCAAAAGTACTAGAGCGATTCTGGTAGTAACTCTCCAGGAACGATGGTTAGGAAACTACCCGCCTATATGACTGAAATACTGTTGGGAAAAGGCGTAAAATGAAACAAAGAAACAAGAGCGATTCTCTTCAAACTTCATACATTGACAGAGCACATTGGGGTGAAGTGCAATATGGAAGTAAATAAAGCAAACTTGCCTACTTTTAAAGTTATTTCCGTTTATCAGATTTACATAAAAAATAGCTCAAAAAGTACTTCAGTGATTTTCTTCAATTGTACAAGAGGTGTTCAATTTATTATTAAACAGTTTTAAAACCTGCCTGATTATTTACTCACATGTGTTTTACTGCAACAGATGCTTAATCAAGGATCCATTGCTTAATTCAGCTTTCTAAAGTTTGGTTTATGCATGAATGCTCAAGTTTGCTCATTCGCTATTGGATTCATTGTACTGCAAAATTGATTCACACAAAATGTCCAACAATTCTTTTTTTACAACCACAATCATGACAATGAAAGATGTGAATTTAAAAGCCCTAAACATTTTAACAATGACTGTTATATTACCGGTGACTGAATTGTTTTCTCAGAGTTTGGTTTATTAAAACCATATCTCAGGGAAAGTATATTACAAATGTTAAAAGACTTGCACCTTGACATGCAATTAAACTTAATAAGTTTTATATTTTAACGTTTAGCATAAAAGCACCTTCTTTCTTAAAGTTTTGTTGTTTGTTTGTTTCAGAATGTGTAAAAAAAATAAATTCAATGCGAATATTTCAGATGGAATACCAAAGATATTCAGAGTCAAGGGAGATTATCTATAGATAGTACAGGACACAAAGATCTCAGTATCTCAGCTGGTCTCGGAGGGTCGCACCTTGACAGCAGAGGTGGTGTAATAGGTGGTAACGTGGATCTACAAGGCATCTCCACTTACTGTGAGTATTCCTGATTTTAGCTCTACATTGCCTCAACATAGAAACCTGTACTTGGGACAACTATAACAATTGTTGAGACAAAAAAAATTATTCTGTGAAGAAGAAAAAAAATTCTATAAAAAACTTTTTATATACTAGTATGTATGTTGTGTTTATTAGGTTTAGAGGAAAGCATGTTGATAAAAGATAAAAGTGAATTCCGTTATTCTTGTTTAATTTCATACAGTTGAATGTAATGAAGACCCAAAGCTGGATAAAGATCCATTACATGAAGCAGGTGTTTCCATGTATGCTATTGAAGGTAGAGTTGATTATATGGGATCAAGCGTCTTGATGACACGGCTCAGTAACATGAGTCTGAGTGTCAGAGATGAATGGAAAATTGATAAAACACAGGAAAAGACGGATGCCCCACTTGCGACAACGAGGTAACAAAGTAATTTATTATGCCCCCCTTCAAAGAAGGGGGGGTATATTGCTTTGCATTTGTCTGTCGGTCTGTCGGTCCGTAGACCAAATGGTTTCCGAGTGATAACTAAATAACACTTAGGCCTAGGAACTTCAAACTTGGTATGATGATTGTTCATGACAAGCAGATGACCCCTATTGATTTTGGGGTCAAGGGGTCAAAGGTCAAGGTCACATTGACCTTGTAGATAAAAACGATTTCCAAGTGATAACTAAAGAATGCTTAGGCCTAGGAACTTCAAACTTGTTATGATGATTGTTCATGACCAGCAGATGACCTCTATTGATTTGGGGTCAAAGGTCAAGGTCACATTGACCTTGTAGGTAAAAATGGTTTCCGATCAACTAAAGAACTCTTGGGCCTAGGAACTTCAAACTTGGTTTGATGATTGTTCATGACCAGCAGATGACCCCTATAGATTTTGGGGTCAAGGGGTCACAGATCGAGGCCACATTTACCTTGTAGGTAAAAACAGTTTCTGATCAATAACTTAAAAAAGCTTAGGCCTAGGAACTTCAAAATTGGTTTGATGGTTGTTCATGACCAGCAGATGACCCCTATTGATTTTGGGGTGAAGGGGTCAAAGGTCAAGGTCACATTAACCTTGTAGTTAAGAATGGTTTCCGATCAATAATGAAAGAACGCTTAGGCCTAGGAACTTCAAACTTGGTATGATGATTGTTCATGACCAGATGATGACCCCTTATGACTTAGGGATCAGAGGTCAAGATGACATTGACCTTATAGGTAACAACGCTTTCTGATCAATAACCCAACTCAAGGGCCCTTTACCTTCAAACTTCACAGGTGCATTTGTAATGGCCAGTAGATAACCCTATTGATTTAAGAGTCAAAGGTCAATGTCATATTGACATTGTATGTAAAGACTGTTTCTAACCAATAGCTCAACAATTCAAGTTGCCTTGGTTTATATTTTTTATCAAACCAAAAAGCCTTTTGGTATACACATTTCAAGGTCTTATGTTATATAACAACTTGGCTGTCATTAATGAGGCAAGCCGCATACATGATTCATAACATTTATGCATATATTATTTGGTAAGATTTGAAATAACTTTATCATAAAATTGCTGCACACAACATTTGCAGTCACAAGTACCTAGTGCTAGTCATAACAAGTAATTAACCCTTATTGATTTTTTGGTCACTAGGTCAAAAGTCAGTCATAACAACCTGATCACATGACTAATTGGCTGCCAATAGGGGGCATACATGTTTTACAAACATATCTTGTTATTAGTTATTAACTATGATTTATGACAGGTTATATGCCCCATTATAAAGTAACAAACATTCAGTTTTACAGTTATGCTTAGAAATCTTTATGCTGTAAAGTGCTTAACACAAAGCTTAGCTAAAGAAAGATCAATGAGTTAACCTAGGCACCCACTCCTGTTTAGCTGGGGCACTGAAAAACAACTCAACACGAGAAAATGAAAGAAAATATTGATAGTTAAATGTGTTTAGAAGAATACATTGTGACTTTTGTAATTTGGGACTTCTAAACTCCGGAAACTTTTGAAATCTGAACAATTTTAGGGTCCCGAAATTTCTCCTTTTCCTTTCTATGTAATTAATAACTCTTAATTAAGGAAGTTCTTAATTCTGAATTCAGAATGATTTTCTGATGAAGTTTATGATATATCAATTGAAATTTACTTCCAGAATCCGGAAATTTAAAAAAGGTGTGAAAGATTATCATGTCTCCCAAAAATGTTGGGAAATATTGTTTTTGCTCTTTAGCTATCCATCCATCCTTCTTTGCGTTAGTCCACATTAAGCTTGTCCAGCTTTTATAGGTCAAACTGTGGTTGGCATTTTGAAGAAACTTAACAGGATAGAACAGTACCAGCCCTAGTTGTACCAACCCTAGTTGTGCGTATCATGGGCATATTTTGCTTTGCTGCACAAAATTGTTGACAAAGCTAAAAATAGAAAAATCTTGTCCGACTGTATCAGGTCAAACTGCTGGCGGATTTTGATGACACTTCACAGCATTGATCAGTAGGACACCTTAGTTGTGCATATTGCTTGCATCATCTCTTATAATAGCTGCGTTGTCATTATGCAAAAAACTTTAATGTAGCTTATTATTCAAAGACTGAAACTAGGAAGTAACTTGCTTGTTATCCTTTCGGCGGATGATATAGAAATAGTCTCCGTCCGTCCGTCCGTCCGACCTTCCGTACGTCCGTCCGACCTTCCGTACGTCCGTCCGTCCTTCCGTCCGACATTTTTGTCCGGAGCATATCTCTAAAAGTATTTGAGTTATCAACTTGAAACTTCATAGGTGGATAGACCTCATTGAGGAGGAGTGCAGTGCACAAGAATGATAACTCTACCTTGTAGATTTTTGAGTTATTGCCCTTTGTTATTTTTCAAAATTGATTTTTGTCCAGAGCATAACTCCAAAAGCCTATGAGATATTAACATGAAACTTCATAGGTGCATAGATCTCACTCAGGAGGTGTCCAGTGCACATGAATGATAACTCTACCTTTCATAATTTTTGAGTTAATGCCCTTTGTTATTTTTCAAAATTGATTTTTCACCTGAGTGGAGCATAACTCAAAAAGTGTTTGAGATATCAACATGAAATGTCATAGGTGGATAGATCTTATTGAGGAGGAATGTTGTGCGCAAGAATGATAACTCTTCCCTATACAATTTTTGAGTTATTGCCTTTTGTTTTTGTGCCCCCACGTTAGTGGCGGGCATTTAGATTTACCCTTGTCCGTCCGTCCGTCCGAGCAAACATTTGATATTTATGAGCTTCATTCCGTAGTTAAATAAAGAACAAAAGCTCATAAAATTCAAATTAAGAGCTATTTTTTTGATTTTATGAGCTGATTTTGCTTATGGACTTTGGTCCAGGTGAAGTTTATGAGCTGATTTACCTCTTAAATATCAAAAGTTGGTCTGTCCTTCCGTCCGTCCGTTCACTTTTGTGTCGCATGTAACTCAAAAAGTATTTGACCTAGAGTCATGAAAGTTTACAGGAATGTTGATCAGCATGTGTAGTTGTGCACCTGGGTATTTTCATCTGGATATTTTTAGTATTTTCAGAGTTATTGCCCTTGACTTAGTAAAATTTTGCAATTTTCAACTTGTGTCGCATGTAACTCAAAAAGTTTTTGACCTAGAGTCATGAAACTTTACAGGAATGTTGATCAGCATGTGTAGTTGTGCACCTGGGTATTTTCGTCTGGATATTTTAAGTATTTTCAGAGTGATTGCCCTTGACTTAGTAAAATTTTGCAATTTTCAGCCTTGTGTCGCATGTAACTCAAAAAATATTTGACCTAGAGTCATGAAACTTTACAGGAATGTTGATCAGCATGTGTAGTTGTGCACATGGGTATTTTCGTCTGGATATTTTTAGTATTTTCAGAGTTATTGCCCTTGACTTAGTAAAATTTTGCAATTTTCAACTTGTGTCGCACATAACTCGAAAAGAATTTTACCTAGAGTCATGAAACTTTACAGGAATGTTGATCAGAATATGTAGTTGTGCACCTGGGTATTTTCATGTGGATATTTTTGGTGTTTTCAGAGTTATTGCCCTTGACTTAGTAAAATTTGGCAATTTTCAACATGTGTCGCACGTAACTCAAAAAGTTTTTTACTTAGAGTCATGTAACTTTACAGAAATATTGATCAGCATGTGCAGTTGTGCACCAGATATTTACGTCTGGATTTATTTACTATTTTTAGAGTTATTGCCCTTCACTTAGAAAATTTTTGCAATTTTCAACTTGGATTTGACATAGTCATTAAACCTTATGGGCAGGTTGCTCAGCATATTTTAGATTTGCACCTGGGGTTTCGCTTGTGGATTTATCAAATATTTGTAGAGTTATTTCCCTTGACTTAGTAAAAAGATTGACAGAACAGTGGCGCGGTGGGGGCACCCGTGTCCTATGGACACATTTCTAGTTTTATGCTATTTTGTCCAGAGCTTATCTCAAAAAGTATTTGAGGTATCAACTTGAAACTTCAAAGGTGGATAGACCTCATTGAGGAGGAGTGCAGTGCACAAGAATGATAACTCTACCCTGCATTATTTTTGAGTTATTGCCCTTTGTTATTTTTCAAAATTAATTTTTGTCCAGAGCATAACTCAAAAGCCTTTGAGATATTAAAATGAAACTTCATAGGTGCATAGATCTCACTCAGGAGGTGTGCACTGCACAAGAATGATAACTCTACCTTTTATAATTTTTGAGTTATTGCCCTTTGTTATTTTTCATACTTAATTTTTCAATTCAATTTTTTTCTCAAAAAGTATTTGAGGTATCAACTTGAAACTTCATAGGTGGATAGATTTTACTGAGGAGGGATGCAGCACACAAGAATGATAACCTACCCTGCATTATTTTTCAGTTATTGCCCTTTGTTATTTTCATTCATCGGTATTCACATAGGTTTCAAATCTGTAATCACTATAGCCATCAGTTTTCATTACCAAAAGACCTCTTAAAATAGAATTATTCTGTTCTACTACATATACATTCTTCCAATGAGCAAACACATTCGGCGGGGGATGGTCATGTTGACATGGCTCTTGTTATGATAGTGTGCAATTGTTAAGACAAGGTGCATAAGTTTTATTTTTGGAGTAATGCCCCTTTGTAAATAGAATTTTTTGTCAAAATTGGTTATTGATAGTAGTTGCCCTTAACAGATTAGTGCTTACACCATATGAGGTGCTCTAGCATTATGACAAGATATCTGTAATGATGTTTCATTGCCTTGCAGGACTGCCTTGTTGTTTGCTCATGGTGATCTGAAGTGGGATAAATTCCATATTTTGATCTCGCGCTCCACAACACCAGATCTTATTAAAATGATATCAAAACTAGATGAGTTTATAATGCAACAGTTCACGAGCAGTAAACGCGCGTTAGGGGCCATCGGGCCGATGTCAGGTAGCGGGAGACTAAAAGCTCATGACAAACATAGATCAGCAGATGAAGAATCTTGTAAGTTTATTTTGTCAATAATTTTGTATATACTTCAGTCGCTTTGAAGGAAAAATACTTAAATATTTCTTTCATACAAGTCTATTGTTTTTATGCCCCCAAAGGAAGGCATATTAAAATCGCACTGTCTGTCTGTCTGTGCCTCCCCACTTCATTCGTGTCCGGACTGTAACTTTGTCATACATTGGGGGATTTTGAAATCATCACAGTTTCTGATTTGCCATACTTAAGCACATAAAAAAATTGTCAGACTGGAACCCAGGCTATATGGTAGCTTTGAAATGAATTGTTGTGTGGA